GGGGGGCAACAGTGGGAGGGCTTCTAGTGTCCTGGCCCCACTGGTGGAAGGCATCTGTGATGGCATAATTTAGTAAATTTCAGTACAAAGTCACCCTTGTGAATAAGGCAGAAACAAGACTCCTGTAAATGAATGTCCAGGAAAACCTTTAAAATGTTCCCCTACAGGCTTTTCTGTGTTGCCCTCCTTACTTTCAACTTTATGACCATTTGTTTGTCATGGTATGTATATTTGTAGATCTTAAAGTGACTATTCTAAAAGTGAATGTAAATAAAGGACACAGCAGGAGACCGCGGAGATACCACCTTAACCACTGGCCAACTCCCAACTTTTCCTGGGTTTAGCCCAGGCCAGGGGCATGGCTAGGGGGGTTCCCAGGCCCCCCTAAATTTCTGGGGAGCCCCTTCCTAAATCCCACATGGCTCCGCCTCCATAGATAGTGACAATTGCCTGTGATGTCACTGGCTCCTCCCTATGATGTCACTGGGCCTCGGTTCTTTTAAGGGCCTAGCATAGCAATGCCTCTGGCCCTGGCCCAGCCCCCCCCCCCCCCCGGGAAATTGGAAAGTCTACGCCCTTGTTTACCCCATAATCTCTTATTGTTGCCTCCCACTGTTCTAGCTTGTTACAGCTTTGATGAAAACTCTCACTCTGCTGAACATAGGAGGTGATGGTACTATTACAGATATTCCTTTGTGGCTGCATCTTTCCATTCCACATCACATGTCATTCTGACCTTCTGGAGCAGCTTTTTGAGGGACTACAGCCCAGGGAAAGCTGCCTCTTACCCACCTGTGCATGAGCAGAACAGTTTTCATTCATGCAAGTAGGAATATATAGCTTTTGTTTTTGTGGCTTGATATTTGAACAACTGGTTTCTGCTGACCCCCCCCCCCCCCCGGATATGAAACGTGTGTCTTTATCCTCTGTCCACTTCTGTATGAATGTCAAATTCAGGACAAAATTAGCTTTAGTCTTTGGGAGGGGTTTGAATCATAGATTATTTGGATTTCGTAGAATCTTGTATTTGAACCCCTTGCTCTTAGGGGAATCGTTTCAAATGAGCTGTGTATTCATAGGTGAACCTTGATCAAGCCGGGTTGGCCACCAGCCTCTTGTGCTTTGAAAGTGAGTCCCTGGGAGTGCTGTTCTGATGTTTAGCTGATTGGTTATATTCCTCCCATACAAATCTTCTGATTAAAAATGTTCCCCTGATTGTCTGGGCAAAATTATAAATTAAAAAAATAACAAAAGTATCAATCAAAAATTACAAAAAAGCAGGCAGCGGGTTAGCAGCATTCCTTCGTATTTCGTATAAGGGGAAATTCCTTTGCTAGCATGGTGTTTGCTGTGATGCATGAGTGCATCATCTGTAAACAACGTAACAGTGTTCTCAGGGGTCATTTCGTAGAAAAAGAGGTGCCGGAGCTCATTAGCATAGCTCATTAGCATAACTTATTTGCATATGCCACACCCCCTGACATCACCGGAAGTGTGTCAGAAGGCAACACCCACCGTTCAGGCTCCACTGGACTGTTTTGGATTGCTAGCTATTGGGGGGGGG